AAAACTGTACAGTCCTAATAAGAAATTTTTAAAAAGGCTCTAAATAAAAAGAAAAATGCACTCAGCATCTCACTCTTAGAGACACATTAAAACAACTGAGTGAACACAATTCTGGATGATTTCTTGATATTGGTATACATTAATGGATTTTGTAAAATGAAAAATTGGCAAAGTCATAAAAAAATACTGAGGTGAGCCACTGAGTTCTTGTCAAATATAGAAGACAACACTTTTTAGGGCCTGGTGTTTGTATTCCAGTTCTTCCATCAATGGGATCAGGAAAGTTCCACTATCTTTCTGTACCTTAGTTTCTATGTCTCCATAGAAAATTAAACTTTTATGAGATCTCAATCTGCAGTAGCCATTGTGAACATACAAGAAATCATTTTAAAATTTAATTCTATGATTTTGTGACCAATTCTAATGTTGGTTTTTAACTTCTTTGAGCTTAAATCTTTAAGGTTTGGGATTTATTTTGGCTCATATTTTCAGAGGTTTCCATCCATGGTCAGGTGGCTTCATTGTTTTTTGGCCTGTGGAAAGACAGAAAAATTGTGGCAGAAGGGCATCATGGACAAAGGTTTGGGTGGCTCATATGTTGACACAAAAGGCTTAGACTACATCCTACCTCTTCAAAGTTTGGTCTGTGGACCAGGAAGTAACACTGGCATCTTCCATGAGCTTGGAGGAAATGCAAAGATTACACCCCATTTTGGAACTACTGAATCAGAATCTACATTTTAACCAGATCCCCTGTCAATTAGTGGGCACACTAAAGCTTGAAAATTAATGAACTCAATGACTGATAATATTCATTTAGACTGGCAAGGACGGGCAACGAGCAGAGAACCTAGCATTAGACCTGTACAGTATAGCTTGTGTCATCTTGGAAGAGTGAGCTTCTAAACACATGGATTCACTTTTTGTGTCTTAGCTCCTTCATCTGAAAAACAGATGGTTAACAGTAGTTACCTCCTGAGATTACTGTAAGGATTGCGAAGGACTGAGACTAAGCAGTTTATCACAGTACCTGCCATATTGGAAACTCACCCAATGAGACATTCACTGCAAGCCCTTTCTGTGTATGTCAGATTCATGCTGGAACTCTGAATGGAGCAGTAAACAAAATGAAATCCTTACCTCAATGGAGCAGACAATCTAACAAATGAGACAGGCAATAAATTAGTGGATTTTTTTAAAAAAAGAAAAAAATCTATCACATGTCTATATGCTCCATGATGTCAAGAGAAAAACAACAGGGCTATTACACACAGAAAATTCAGGAAAGGTTTTCAAAGAAAACAAATGAGCCAATAACTGAACTCACTATTATTAAATTAGTATCTGGAGGAAAGCTTCAGACACACAGTGGAACATTTTATAGGCATCCAAGTCTTCAGAATCCTCTTTCACCAGAAAAGTAGAGATAAAGATATTGAATGGACAATAAAACATTTAAGGCAAAAATTTCCTGGAAGAATTTTTGTTACTGTTATGTAGTTGTTATAATAAACTTCCCTATTCCAATTTGGATGTTGAAAAGTTATAATTATTCTTTCCCTGACTCAGAAACAAAAAGAACAACTTCTCAAAACCAATAACTCAACTTTGGAGAAAATATGACAAGTCTATATACCCTACAACTCAATCTCAGTATGGATACAACCTAAAACTTTAATATAGTAATATGGTGATGCTAATAAGACTCATCTTTTCCCCCCATAGAGATGAAAAACTCCATACACATTTTTACAGAAGTAGATAAGTTCAACTTAGCAGTTTAGTTACATTCCAATTTATGCTTTTGCCTAAGAATATCAGTCTGTGGACTTAGTACATATTTTTCTTCATTTCTCTTTGCTACCCAACAAACATGTAAACAAATAACTGTTATCTGGTATCAGTGGCATGAAACAGCTTCTATAGTCCAGATGGGGTATCTTAATAATAGGAAGATGATCTCACACTTTAAAGTGCTTTGATGTAAAAAGGTGCCGTCTAAAAAGGAAGTTATTATTCTTAGTTATAATACCCTTAAAAAAGGATTTGCTATCTAAATGGCTGCTGAAACTTAACTGCAGAATTACTTATAATGCTACAATCAGAGAAGGCCAAATTCAATGAAAACTCCATCCGGCATTCACACTGAGAAGACCCACATGTGCCTTTAATTTTTTTTTAATTTCCTGGGCTTCTGGCCCAGAAATTGCATGGAAATTTTATTTAAACCAGCTCTGTGTATCAACTTTTGGTAAACATCCGGGTTTCAGTTAACTCATTATGCTTTATATTTGGGGTAAAAAAAAGGTTATAAAATCATGCATATCTGTCTGTGTGTATATATTTTTATACTTTCACCTGTTCTGACTAGCAAACTGGGGCTTGAGCTAAAAGTTCATCATCTCTCCTACAAATTTTAGCATGCTTTCACCTTTCTTCTGCTACAGCCATAAGATTCAAAATTCCATTAAATCCCTTTCCAGTGCTAATCAGCTTTCACCAGCACAGGCAATGTAATCTGAGTTTGGAAATGACTAATTATTTGGAGAGGGTTTTGAGGGGTTAGGGTATAGATTTCTGTCTAATTTAAAGAAGCTTTTCTCTTGTCTTTTTCGCTGTCATTTTGCAGCCTGGGGCCAGCACCCCCTCCTTGATAAAAATGCTCTTTCCCTTCCCATTAGATAGAGCATATGTGTATGTATTAGAAGATGAATGCATTATGAGGCAACAACTTGAAAATATTAAAAGAAGAGGCAGGCCTGTGATAGCTGTGGGTATGGCAGTAATTGCACCTGCTAGGCGCAAGGCATGAACATAATTTGCATGTAAAGTTCTTTCAGTTTCTTCTAGAACACACCAGTTCTACCCAATAAAATACTTTGTTACACTCAGGGGGTTTGCCAGCACATTCCCAGATTGCAAGCAAAAAGATTATTTACAGTAACCAATAACAACTGAAAGGACCATAAATAATCTTTTCTGTACCTGTTCTATTTTTTTCCCCTCTTTTGCTAAGTAGAAAGAGTCCAAATTTACTGCAATTTAATTCTGATGGGAAAAAGCACATTATTTTTATTTATAGTACCATGCTCTTTGCTTGCCTCCCCCATCCCTTTAAGTCATAAATAATTCCAGCTTTTTTAAATTTAATCCAGCCATTACTCTTACAAGGATGAGCTGTTTCCTGATCTTGAGTTGGGGCAAAAAGGAGCCACCATCTGAGAAAGTTCCTTCATGCATTCCAGAATTGGACTGTGCTGTGTGCTCCTGGGGCTAGACACCATCATTCCTGAAATAGTTCCTGGTAGGTAGACCACTTGTTCTACTCACTGAGAGGATTTCTGTATCAAGGGAAGGGCTGAGGGCATGTATGCGGGCTTCACTATGGAGAGCAGCACCCTGCTTACAGCTGGGATTTACTGCCTGTCTTTCAAACTTCCGCAACTTTCCTTAGAAGTTCAAATTTCATTCTGAATTGCAGGGGACCAGACACTTATTTCTTGTGAAATAAACAAGAATGAGAAAGAGCAATCAAAACAGCCATTTTCCTGGAAACCCTTATTCAGATACGGTTTGCCAGGGTAGTTGACCCCCCGCCCCCCGCACCCCCCAACCCCGTCAAGGCACAGTTTTCTATTCACACTAGGAATAGCTAAGAGAGGAGGGGAAGGGAAGGAAAGAGAGAAAAAGAGAGGATAGGGGAGTAGGAAGAAGAGTGGAAGAAAGGGTTAGGAAGGGGAGGAAGAATTAGGGAAGGGAGAGAGAAGGAGGAGAGAAGAGAAAAGAGAGGGCAGGGCAGGGGAGGAGGCAGGAGGGGAGGCGAGGAGAGGAGAAAGGGCTGGGATCTCTTAAGTGCAATGAAACTAACAGGATTAGGTGTTTTAATATAAAGGGAAAACAAAGTAAAGGTAACACTTTTTAATGTCAAAGAATTATAAAATATAAAGTCTCACTCACAAGGACCATGCTAACTGTATCCTGAGATATCCTTCTAGAAACTGTGAATGCATACATGTCCACAAAGAACGAAAAAACTCCACACACTTTTCCTGTACCAATTTCTTTCTCTCAATACCTCTTGAAGGTCATCATGTCAATGCCAGATGTACCTCTCTCCCTGTATAGTATATTCCATTGTGTCTCCAAGCTATTTTAATTAGTCCCTCCCTTGATGACGAGCACTAAATTTTTACAACAGTTTTTCCGCTCACAAGTACAGTTGCATTCTTGGCACAGGTACTGGGAGTCTTGCCTAGAAGTTCAGCTGAAAGGTTTGGGGCTTAAACAGGTTTATTACATTTCAGTCTTGATTCTGTAAGTGACCATAATCGTACCTACTTACATAAATAAAGGCGGTAAGGTCCATGTTAGAGAGTCCTTGTAAGAACACAATTGCTATTATTCCTGTAATCTCAGACAAATTAATTCCTTCCTCACTGTACCAGGAATAATAATAGATACGAGGTTCCTCTGAGGGCTGCAGGAACTAATTCATTTAAACAGCAGTCCACTACCCGGTAGATAGCTAAAGCTTCAAAATGATCTGCTTTAATAATAAGACTTGCGATCTGCGCACTTGTGTCAGCGCAGCTGCGGGGCTTTTCCTAGAAGCGGAATTCCTGCCCTTAACCCCGAGCTCCTCGGACTCCAGCTGGGCGACACCAGGCCACCCAGCGGTGAGCTGCGGCGGCTGCGACCCCACGCCCCCGCCAGGGGCCTGCGGAGCCCGAGGTACGTGGGTGCCCGAGCCGCGCTCAGGGAGCGCCGGGTTCCGCGGGCGGAGAGACGCGGGGGGCACCGCCGGCGCGAGGCGCGGGACCCCGTTGGCTGCGGCGCCGCGCTCCCCGCCCCTCTCGCGCCGCCCGTCTCCCTCCCTCCCGGCCCCGCGCGGCGGAGGCGCAGGCAGCGCTAGCTCGGCGCCGGCAGCAGGCACAGCAGCCTGGCGCCGCGGGTTCGGCCGCGAACAGCGCGGACGGGGGCGCGCACGGCGGCCCCCAGGACCCGGAACAGCGGCTGCGGCGGGCGGGCCGGCGGGGCCGGCGCCCTGAGAGCTGCGGGTACCGGGTAAGTACGGGTTGTCAGGCTCCAGCGCCGGCTGGGGCTCAGGGCTGAGGAACCTGCCTGGGAAACTTTACGCGCTTCTGAGCCTTCTTAGCTCCAAAGTTTGTTGGCCAGGCAATACCCCTGACCGAGCGAGATTACAAGATGTTTTTCCCAGCCATTTATTGTGGGGAGATCGTTTTCCTCGGTCTGGGGTGAGGATTGGTTCAGAATGGAAAGGGTCCGCGTCCCCAGTTTGAGTGATGGGAGATGCGAGGTAGGTCCCTCTGGCTTCCCCTTAGCGTAGCGGATTTGGCCAGTGAAAGTTGAAAAATAAAAAAGTTGTAAACCGTAGGGCCGTCGAGGAAGAATCCAGTGTGCATGGAGCGTGGGTGAGAATGTGATACCTTTCTGCCACAAGCTCTGCAGACTCTTAGGTCTAGGGAAGCTTGGGTTGGAGGATTCTTCCATTACCAATCAAGTTTTCCAGGCTGCACTTTTCCACTCACAAATCTGCAGCCTTGAATAGAATACCCTTTCGCGTTTATTTCGCACATTTTCTCTGATGAGCTATAGTTCAGGTTTCTTGAGGTTTGACCGGACAGTCTGCTTCTGTACTCTCTGAGGAGTCCTGCAAAGCTTGCCTAGCAGGTAACAGAAGAGCAGAAACTGAAAACCAGGAAGTGGCAACCAGGCATCCGAGTCACAGCACCATCGGGATGGCGGGGCGGCGGGGGGCTGTGAAATGAAGGAACAGCTTCTGGGCTCCGTGGAAAGCTCCGTGCCGTTCACCAATCCCGTATGTCCTTCTCTGTACGGCATTTCCTTTTTGATTTAGACCCAGGAGAGGCGCTCAGAGGAATAATTTAATAACAAATGTTGTAGGCTAAGGTGAGAGCCAAAGGGAGAACAGATAGAGCTCTAGGAAAGGGCAGCCAGTCCTTTAACCTTAATCCGCGCTGTGAGGAAACCGAGCTAACAGAGATAGAGAAAGCAATAGATGGAGACATGTGATGTGCAGAAGGGAGGTCAGAAGCCCTCTTTCACACAGTGAGGAGGTAAATCCAGAAATATTCTAAATGATTAAGCAAGAATAACTCGACTCCTATGTGCTGTGGTTTCTGTCTACCCCCACAGAGATGAATATCACAGTAGCTGAAAAAGACTCTTTATCTGTAAATAGAATAAAAACGGGAATTAATCAGAACAGTGAGTCAGAGCCCATCAAAGATTGAAAGGGGAAGTAATTGCCTTTGAAAGAGCTATTATATTTCAATATCAGTTAAATGTGTTACTTTTGCTTTGCTGTGTTTACTAACACTAACCTGACTTTGTCTGCAATAACCTGGCACCTAGATTGTGGTTTTAACCCTCTGTGGATCCTGGTACTGGGGAGGGGGGTTGTCTGCAGGTTAATATTCACATCCAGTTGTAGAACATTTGTAAGATGCCTCATATATGCAAGTCACTGTGTGCAGCAGGACAGGTTCTTGTAGATGCTGTTCATGAAAGGGATCTGATAGAGTTCAGCCTTGGTAAATGATGTTTGCATGAAAATATGAGTGGAGCCAGGGCTTTTGGATACTTGCTTGAAGTCAATTGAGAGTCAACATGTGCTTTGAAGACCTCCAAAAGAGTCTGTATTCTCCAGGCAAATACAGCAGATTGCTGCACACTTTTATTAGATGAGTGCTGAGGTTGAGTACAAGTAAGTGGGGGTTGTGTCTAAAGGTGGGCTGGATCACCTAGAGACTAATTGACTTGCGGGGTAATAGAGTCAGGCAATAGATGGCTCCTGACAGTAGCATTCAGCCCCATGTCCTTCTCACTGTCTGGATGTCTTTAATGTCAGCGTGAGGACCGGAGTCATTAAGTTCATTTCTTCAGAAGAACTGTAACTTTTAAACATCCTTCAAACCAGACTGAATAGCCAAAGTGTTTCTTAAAATGGCAACAAAATATTTAATAGGACCAAAGTGCTGAACAGTTTCAAGCAGAGCAAAGATTAGCTGTGGACAACAAGCTTGTAGCCTTTCAGTTGCTGATTTATGTTCAATTTTATCACTGTCACATTTCATATATGCCTAGTTATTAGAAACTAATACCCTCTTCGCTCTGCTAGCAAAATATGCATCTTTTTTTTATAAGTGCCTAACTCCTGATTCATTCAGTACACATCTAGCTTTGTTTTTACTGCATAATTTAAATGTCCAACTTGAAGTTCTCATTAACTTCTAAGATGTTTTGTGCTGGAAAAGTATATAGATATAATTGTCCCTTTCAAACTGCTACATCTATATATCACTTTATTGTGACAGTTCCACAACACAGAGATGCTATAACTGGCTCAATGTTCTGTGTTTTCCAATTACCATTTAGTAAGTAGTTAGCTCTGCAATTATGTTAATTTTATGCAGTGGGAGATATTCTTATGGCAGGAGAATTTATTGATGCTGTGCATATTTGCTTGCTGTCTCTGATTTGGTCATCACTGAGCCTACCTTTAAGCCTTCTTATCTTAGCCATTATTTTACTTCTTTGAAGTTAAGCATCTCTAAGGTGCTTTCATTGGTTTTTAATATGCATAACTGCAAATACATATTATTTTAATTTGCATATATATATTGCCATTTAGTGCCCATGGACTATTTCTTTTTGTATGCTTGGTAATAGTGGAGTAGATAATATCCTTGTTGCAAAGATGTTTGGCAATAGTAATGAATATGGAACAACAAGACTGTTTCAGGTAGAAATTCTTTGAAATTGAGAGGTGATAATTGTTATTCTCAGATCTAATTTGTATAAAATTTTCTGAGACAGATCACGTGGGCTAAGTGGTTTTGGTTTGTAATTGCCCGCCAACACCAGCCTTCCCATCTTCCAAACACAGTGGAGTGTTTCTTTGGAAATTTTGCTGCAGTAGAAATGCACTCCGTGGTTGAAACTTTGTATGCCAAGTTTCAATCCATAGTATGTTTTTATTTTCCTGCTTTTATATACATGTTATAAACAAGAAATAAGGGTTTGTAATAGAAGTACTGGCAGAACTTTATAGCATTTCAAACAGCTCTGGTACTTGGAATGTAAATATTTGTAGCATCTTTACTGTGCAAGAGGCTGCCTTGCAAAGAGTGAGGGAAAATTACAATTTTATTAAGTAGGATAAGATAATTCAGACAGTATGCATATTCCTCACTGGAGACATATTGGCATTTGAAGAAATAGATTATCTATGTTACAGTTATTCCACGGAACTCTCTTAGGTGCCTTTATAACTCAGATTGTAAATTTTCTGTTTTCTAAAGCCAGGGAACAATTTTGTCCTGTTTGTTTTCTAAGTTGCTTGGCTTTGTTTCCCTTCCTAATGTTAAGACATGCGATCCATAACTCAAAACCCACTGTGATTATATTACTGATAAAGGAGCCTGCCAATATATTATTTTAATAGTATAAAGAATTCTTGGGGTATCACAATACTTCAAACACTCTTCCTTTGGAGAACTAGAACAACTCAGATCTCATGTGTCCTTTGATTCTACTCTGAAAGACTTCTCTACCGTTTTCACCCACATCACCCTATTCCAAGTCACTGTTTCTATATTGGACCCTCTGCACTGTTTTCCCTTGCTTCTTTCTTGATTCTTTCCCAAAGATCATTCTGCACAGCTGGCCCATTTTTTTTTTCCAAAATGTAAGTTAAATGAGTACTCTGCTGCTAAGAATGCTTTAATGACTTTCTGTTGCACTTAGAATAAAATCCAAACTATTAGATATTACCTACAAAGCTGTGTGAGATTTAAAGACTGTTTCTTTAACACCTCGTATCATGCTTTTGGAAGCAAGAACTTTGTGGACTTTCTTTCAGTTCAGCAGTTTTGTTTACCTCTTTCCAACTTTAGAGATGGCATTGTTCTTTTGCATGGTAGCCTCTTGTAGCCATCATTGCTAAACACACACACACACGCATACGCACACACACACACAGCTTTTGGCTATTGCTCATCCCTTAGATCACAATTTATATACTATTTGCACAGAGGGGGCTCCTTGGCTGTTGGTTTCTTTCCTCCTCCCTATAAGACACCTCTCCTATGCTCTTTCTGTTTATTTTCTTCATAGCATTTCTCATCACTTGGTTGAAATTGGCCATTTCCTTTGCTGATTTCTCCTGTACTCTCCTGTAGTAAGTTTGACTCACTGTTGTCATGCAGCTCTCATCAGAGTGCCTGGCTCACACTGGACTTTGATAAACCCATGAGAACTAAGCTTTTGGGGGTACTGAGTTTGCAGCCTGTGCCCATAGCACCCTGTGATTAAAATGCATATCAAGAAGGTCCATGTTCAGAAGTCTCCTACTGACCTTTACAGTGTTTTTGTGTCACATTGTTGTGATGTCTGAAATCTCTGGGACATCTGCTACTACAACCTTATTGTGTCCAGTAGATTCATCATTTCAGGTTGCTTTAAGTGTAGATGATCTCTTTTTTCCTTCACACTCATCATTGCCATCTAGTCATGTGGCTTCAGTGGTCTGTGGCTTTATCTTTTCCCTTTGTCTTTGCTACCAGTCACTTGACTAACAACTCAGAACATTCATTAAGGTTATCTATCATGTGCCATGCCAGAGTCTAAACATTTTACTTTGTTTATGATTTTTACCTAAATACAGCTGATTAAGAATTGATCTTCTGGGCCGGGGATTTAGCTCAGTGGTTTCGCTGCCTGCTGCGCAAGCACAAAGACCCGAGTTCGATCCCCAGTACCAAAAAAAAAAAAAAGAGAGAGAAATATCAAAGAATCGATCTTCTTCCCCCATTCCTTTTCTTGCTCCAGTCTTTATGACCAAAGGAACTATGTTAATCCATAAGCCAAAGTACTTAGGTCAGTGGATACCCACTGTCTAGAGAAAAACATGAAGCTTGTCTTCATGTGACTTCTCCCTAATCATGGTGGCCAGGAAGGAGACAGACAAGTAGGGAGCAAGGGAGAGAGATCCATCCCTCCAAGTCATGCCAGCCACTACC